CAGCATAAGCTACAAAACCTGTGAAGTTTCCATGTATAGAAGTACCGACAAAGTTATTATTTTTTACAGTTTCAAGTTATTTTTTCGGTGTATATGTTATACAAGTGGGGCGTCAAAATCGATCCTTGCCTCACCTCTTGCTTAAGAGCATATGAAACTGAATTGGAGCCAAACTTGTACTACTGTTGTGATATAAAGTAGATACAGTGTTAACTATTTAGAGAGAGAGAGTTTTTTATCAAATTAAAGTTTATCAGGGGAAGATTCCAGTTGCAACTGTCAAAAGCTTTTTCAGCATCTAGCCAACATAAGTAAATAGCCGAATTGTTGTTGAAATACGGAAATGCAAAAATATAAATCAAAATAAGAAACTAAATAAATAAGTAAAATATAGCTTAAAAGCAAGTATTGTATAAAAATATTTATATTAAATAAGTTTTTATTTACGCATAATATAATTTATATTTCCGTAAAAATTTGTTTATTTCACCGCATAATTTCTTTCACAGAGCACTTCGGGACAGTATTTAGCAAAAGTTTTTTGTTTTTTTGTTTTTTTTTCATATATTTTTTACAACTACATAGTTTTAACAATACATACTTATTTTACAAATAGTTTTAACAATATATACTTTTATTTCAAATCCAGTTAAAATGCTTCAAAAATAACTGAAATAATATTATGATATATTTGATGTACAAAGTAATAAAATAAAGTAAAATAGTTTTATAGTTTACATTTTGAAAAGACAAAATGTCTTAAAAAAGAAAAAAATAAATTTTACGCTTCATTTTGTACCTATGTCGCTTGTTGGTTAGAACAGGAGTCGAACTTCGGACCTTTGGATTCTAAGTCAGAACTTTGACCACTTCACCACGACTGTTTAAATTTAATTTAATTTTTTTTTTTTTTTTTTTTTAATTTAATTTATATTTCCGCATAACCCTGTAATATATAAAGAACCTACTGTGGAAGTAAAATCTGTCAATTAGAATTGAACTTACAATTAAACCTGTCATTTCGAAAAGGATACAAGTCCAAAACTTTTAACAGTTAGTTTATAAATTTAAATTGAAAATTTCTGTATGATTTATATTATTTTTATAAAAAACAAAAGTTACATAAGCTATATACGTTCTTTATATATTTACTTCTATGTTTAGTTTCTTTACCAGCGTAGACATTATTTTAATAAAAATCATGTTTTTGTTGCTTTTGAAAACTTTTAATAAATGGACTTGTGCCCTTTTCAAAATGACTGGTTCAATTGAAGTAAGATCTAAAAATTTTTATTCTATATTAAATAATTATTTTATTTAATTATATTAATTTTGAAAATTAAGTAATATCATTAAAAATAACTTTTACAATACTTTTATAAAATTTCTATAAATACAGTATGTGCGATTTTTATAATAAAACGAATCGAGCAATAAACAGTTTAATTAAAAAACAACAACATTAAAGTGCAGATTCGTTCTTTTGTTGAGAAAAAAAGAACCTCAAAAATTTTTTTAAAATTCAAACAGTAATTATCGTTTTACCCAGTGGGCACCGGACCTAAAAAAGACGTTTTTTGAACGCTGAAAAAGACCTCCAAAACGATCAAAAGACGTTTAAAAGATTTCCAAAATATGTATAAGACGTTTAAAAGACGTCTTTTTTACGTCCTTGCCCTCTGTATATATACTTGAACATAATATTTTTTAAATTTATGACATAAAAATCTTTCTTTTTTTTTCTGTTAAAAAAACTAAAACCTTATATTATATTGTTTTATTTTTAACAGAAAAATTAAAAATAATTTGATAAATTAGCGCCCTATTAAACCCTAATAAATTTACCCTTCGGCCCCGACCTCGCTACGCCACAGGATTTATTATGTTTTACTTGTTTTATGTGTTGTATTATGTATGTGTTATATTATGTATTTGTTATATTATGTCTGTTTAAATCTGATAACTTTATTTTTAAATACATATTTTGATTTAAATTTGCTGAATATATCTTGTCAAAAAAGTTTATTCAGACTGTTTATTCAATAGTAAGCCAATTTGATAATCCTCAAATCAAGTTTCAAGAAATATTTAATACTATTGTTATTATTATAAACAGTGGTACTTATAGTTTTAATAGGGAATTTCCTAATAAGTGTCGAACAGAAAATCTATTTCATTAATTTTAAACACAAAAGTTTGAAAGTAATCACTTGAAAGATTCAAAACAAGCATCTTTAATCAATAAGTTATGTTTGTTATTTATTTATGAACTGTTATTCTACACGGGCATCCCACAATCCTCGGCAGAAAAATTACATATTTTTACACTAGCCGATAGGCCTTAGTGGTAGTGCAGTTGCCTTAGAAACAAATAATCAGTGGTTCAAACCCCACTTCTGGGCAGGTTTTGCTACATTGGTTAGAATAGAGTCGTGATCTTCCAATTAAATGCTCATCCGCGGTGCTCTGCGATAAGACCGTAAGGACTTATTGGGGCACCTAAATAAAAAAAAAAAAAAAAAAAAAAATCTTTTTAAATATTTTTAATAGTAATGAACAACAAACGTGGAATAGTGATGAACAACATACGAGCAACTTAATTGTGATGAACAACAAAATAATATCTATCAATGTAACTTAATGATCAAAAGACAACATCTCTGTTTTCGATAACACATCAACATTTATTTACTTATATAGTATCAGACGATATTTTGAAAGAAAAGCTGCTAAATATTAAATAGATGGTTATCAGTTAATCAAAGAGAACTATGTAAAATAAATTAGAGTTAAACTAAATACTTTGTTATATAGAATTACACCAAGGAATAATGTAATTAATTATTAAATAAATAAATAATTATAAAAAATTAAATTTGGCCAAAATCATTTTTGTGAAATATTTATTAACGAGTAAATGAAAAAATTTTGAAAAATTCAAGTCTAGTTATATTGAAAAAATTTCTTCATTGTCTGGACAATGTATTAACTAATTTGACTTTAAAAATTAAAGCTTGCCATAATATTAATCAATGTTAAGAAAATAATTCAAATTAAATCAGAAACTAAATATCAATACAAAAATAAAAACGGATTAAAGAACAAAATAAAAAACTTACTGCATCAAATTTTGGTACAGTTATAAACCGTATTAATATAACTCCTCCAACTTCAGGTTTATACAATCACAAGCTTGTCAGTGGAGTATTGAAAATGAAGATATTGCTTATGAAAAGTTCAAAAAAAAACAAACTGTGATGCTAAAAAATGCAATCTTGTTATAATTCCTAAATGCCACGGCTGGTTGTAACCCTGATGGCTTGTGTATTAACTAAGACAGCTACAAAATGATTGAAATAAGAAGCTCTTCTTAAAAAGAAACTTTTGTGTACAAAAAGCTTTTATTGGTACTTTTTTGTGTATCAATAAAACTTTTTGTATGGAAATAGTAATAGACAGCAAAAATTAAAAATCAAACAGTTAATTTTACCGCTTTTACAGAAAAGAGTGAAATTTACTTTGTTCTCTACTAAAATAAAGACTTTTTTGTGCAATCAATTAAATTTGAAAATGAAAACTGGTGCAATAAGGTTTTGCCTTGAGTAAAAACATTTCATTTTCAGTTTATGATTAAAAAAATATTTAAAAGGATGTAAAAATATATAAAAGTTATTATAAGAAATTAATGTTTTATTTATTTTTCAATATTTTCTTTTTTAAACATTGCATAAAATAATAAATTTTTATGTTTTACTTAGTTGCTAAAGCATTTAGGAGCACACCATGTTTAATCCCGACTTCTTTTTTTTTGTTTGTTTTTTAGTTAAATAACATTGTTGTTGTTATCTTTTCTTCGAAGACTTATATATTGCAGATTTTACTCCAATAATATAGATTTTAAAATTTGAACTAAAAAATTTAAAATGTGTGAAATAAAATACACAAAAGTCTATTGGGACAATCTCAGTTCTTTCAATATTTTACTTGACTTGTTTTTGTTGTTTACTTCCGCGAACATACGTACCATAATGAATTGTATTTAGTTATGCGACATCGGTTGGGAAGGAGGCGTGAACTTCCTATTAAATGCTCTTCCGCGGTGCTCTGTGATAAGAAAAAAAAAAAAGAAAAAAAAATATATATTTAAGGGAAATGTAAATTATGCAATGGTTACTGATTACACAACCTTGTTAAATCTTACAAAGGTAAAAGCTCAACATACTATTTGATGGCATTTTTTATTTGAAGTGCGTCGATACATTGATTTCATGTAAAATTAATAATGTATGACTATTAGATCAAACCTATCTAAGTTTACGTTATTGAAAAAGCCAAATATAGAATTTTGTTTTATTTTACAAACATGAATAATTGAGCGTCATAAATTTTGCCCTCAAGATACAAAAAATAGCGATTATTAGACTCACTATTTTCACAAATCCTTCAACTCATTCTTCCGTTACAATTACGCATTTATCTCATAGTACTTCGGATGACCGGTGGATTTTATGTAAATTTTTTTTTTAATTTTATTTTAGGTGCTCCAAGAAGTGCATATGGTCTTATCACAGAGCACTGCGAATGAGTTGCTAAACTTTCCCAGAGATGGGGTTTGAACTACGGACCCTTTGTTTCTGAGGCAAGGCTACCATTGCGCCATGGCTGATTTAATGTAAAGCACTGATAAAAATCCAGTTAGAGTGCAAATTTGTACCAGCATTTATTAAATATGATAGTAATTCCTTTGAAATATCTCTTTAGATAAAATAATTTATAAAGATATGTGCAAAAGAATTTTTTCTATCATCAAGTTATGGTGTTTTGAAAGTATTTTAACGGTCAAAACACACGTATTTTCCTCCATTATGGATTTTCTGTTATAAATAGAAAGTTATTTTTTTTTATAAATTACTTCATTTAATATATTTAACAATTTTAATCGAATAAAAAGAGTTACAACGGAAAGCTTGAGAAAATTACTTTATATCAAAAATAGGAACAATCAAAAATATATAAAAAACATCCCGTTTGATTAGTTTGACGGACATAACGTGACCCGCGTCGGCGGCCGTTCTCAAAGTGCTAAAACGACCTTCGTATTCATAATGGTCTTTTAACTTCGGTATCAACATGGGTAGGTACAAAGATTGCGTTTTATAAATCTCTGAGATGGGAATGCTTATCTTTGTATATCGCCTGCATATGTAATTATACACTATCTGTTTTTTAAGTATATCATTTTTCTTACACGAGAGAATGATAATTTAGCTTAATTAATATGCAAAATTTAAATTTACTTAAGTTTGGACTTATTTTACATTTGTAAAATCGTAGGTATCTCAAGGGATAATTATCACAAAAGACGTTCAACTGGAGCTCGTAAAAATCCCTTGAGTAAAAAGAGAAAGTACTCTCTTGGACGACCTTCAGCTAATACTAAGGTAATGAAAAGAAAATTTTAGTTTATAATATCTTTCAAGATAAATTTTAAAGATTTTAAAAGTCAGTTTTTTATATATATTATTTATATATATATAAAAGTAATTTTATTTATATTTTATTTAGATCGGACCAAAAAGAATAAAAGAAGTCAGATGTCGTGGAGGAAATTTAAAGCATCGTGCACTTAGATTAGATACTGGAAATTTTTCGTGGGCTTCCGAATGTAAGCATATTAATAAATTTTAATTGGTACTTGATTATGTAGGTGAAATGATGAACATCTATTCAGTAAAAATTTGTTGTCGTATTGACTAAACAGATTTTGCTGACTGTTTTTGTCATAGTTACACTGATCACATACTACATATAAATTTAAAAGATTTATATTGGTTATAGTGCATTTTATACAATACTTTCTATTAGGTGTTGCACAAAAAACTAGAGTGTTAGATGTTTTGTATAATGCAAGTAACAATGAATTAGTTCGAACTAAAACTCTGGTTAAAAATGCTATCATACACATTGATGCTACACCATTTAAACAATGGTAAACATTTAATAAACTAATAACTATTTAACAAGTTGTTTAAGTTATCTGTTATTGAGTAACCAGTCTAATATCTTTATGACTTAAAAGGTTTGAAGCTCATTATGCAGTTGCCATTGGTAGAAAGAAAGGACAAAAGTCTTCTACAGTAAGTAATATTAATCTTCTGTTCATAAATATTTTACTTACTAACAGTTCACATTAGTTTTAATATTGTTTCTAGGCTGAAGGAGTAGATGATGTTCTAAATAAAGTTCGATCCAAACATGCTACAAAAAAAATTGAAGCTAGAAAACCAGAATCAAAAATTGACCAACATTTAGAGGATCAATTTGCTTCTGGGCGATTATTAGGTAAATCTAATTTTATTATTACTTTAAATAATTTATTGAGCACATTTCTTAAGACCACTTTCCGAGAAAATTTCAATTAACTTTACATTGTAAAAATAATTGATTTATTTCTCAACATCCTTAATGGCTGTTCAGTGGATAGTGATTGGGTCATAGGTGTGCCAAATAACCAAATTTTTATTAGCTTTGAATTGTCATACTTTAAGCTTCGCTATAGTATGTTTAAAATTGTTAGTAAAAACATCTAATAAATATTTATTAACTGTTTACAAGGATCCTAATATTTTTCATCTTTACATTAAGTTAGTGTAATGTTTTGATTATTTATAATATTGGTTTAAAATGAATAATCTCATGCATTAAAATAAATAGCAACTTAATACTTCTTAAATTTATTAAATATATTCAATGTTCACAAAAAAAACTACTAATGTATCATAACATAAAATAGTTTATATAAGGTTTTGCAAGTTTGTTAGACTCGCTTGCAACTGAGGAATATTACAGTTTGCTGATTATATGAGATTTTTATGCTCATTAACTCAAAATCAACAGAAATTGTTTTAATTTAATGTTGAAGTTTAATTACACTACACTAATCGATGCTAATATTCGTTATCTTAATTGTACTCATAATTTAATATTATTTTACAGATAAATTAAAAAAGTCTTATATATTAGCAATGCTAAACTGTTTAACAAAGTATATTGTAGTTTAACCATGCATCAGTTGATTATTGACCCAAATCAACACAATTTCAAAGTTTAAACTTAGTGTTAAATTTCTAAGTGTAATTTTTAAACTTCAATATATTACAGCACTTTCTGTTAATTTTCTGATCTATGTTTTTACTCAATTTTTAATCAGCATAAAATTCTTAATTGTAATAAACAACAAAGAAAACAGGGGAACTGCAATAGAACCTGCACCTCATGTAAAAATTTTTTTTTCTATGTGTAATTAATTGCATGCCTTATTACATTTAATAATATCTGTGTCAAAGCTATTATTGTATACTCTTTTATTTGTTTAAAACATATCAGTGCATAAATATAGTGATTTATATATTGAGCTGTGATGTGATGATTATGAACACAGACCTGTTCTGAAAGTTTATTTGTGGATAATATTCATGCACCACCATCTGATCACAAGCTATTTTGATTATTTAAAGCTCTTTTTTCTAGTTAATCAAAATGGATTTTCAATTAAGTAGAATTGTTATTTCAACAATTTTTAGTTTGTAAAAGATTATAGTGTGGGTTTAATTGATTAGTTATTAAATCTATGATTTGATCTATCATTGAAAAAACAAATGCATCTTGTTTTTAATGGTTTTAATGCAGACAATTCAGTTACTTAACATTAAGTTGTAACATTATGATACCTCTAGTTTTAATGTGATATGATGATTATGAACACAGACCTGTTCTGAAAGTTTATTTGTGGATAATATTCATGCACCACCATCTGATCACACCTCGTGTTAATAATTTGTCTTTTTGAACTATGTATTTACAATGAATACAAGTAAAGCAACAACAACAAGATTATTAAATATTTTATTTATTTTTAACTTAAAGATTTCAAATTTTTTATAATTTATACTTATACTAAACTTATTCGAAAAATTTTACAGTGAGTTTGTAATGTAATATATACTGTAGTTTTTTTTAACAAAATTTAGTGAAGTGATGATTATGAACACAGACCTGTTCTGAAAGTTTATTTGTGGATATTTTTCATGCACCACTATCTGATCACAATTTTAGTTATATTTAAGTTTAATTATTTTTGTTAAATTTATTTTGCTACTTTTTTGTTTTTCAATGGTTTTAAATTTATGTCTATGCATGTGGTTATTTTTTAGCTTGCATTTCATCACGACCTGGCCAAAGTGGACGTGTCGATGGATATATTCTTGAAGGGAAAGAGCTAGATTTTTATTCTAAGAAAATTAAATCAAAGAAAGGAAAATAAATGAATAACATCTTAGTTGGTTATTTTTATTTTTGTGAAAATTATTAACTTTTTGAGGTTTGGCTTGTATTTCTTAATCCAACTCTAAATTTCGCCCCGTTCCGCCCTGATGTGTGCCTAACTACATCGACTTAGAGTTAGGGTTTGATTGTCTTTAACTAAAAGACTCAACTTTTTCATGTATTCGGACTTGATGGAGAGCGTCGGAATAGGTGTTTTGTAAGAGAGCTAACCAAATACCCAATAACGTAATGTTCAATATTATAATTACGTGATTTTACGTATATAAACTTGATTATTACACTTAAAGCAGGTGTGTGGGCAACATCCAGCCCGCGAGTCATTTTTAAAAACCCACTTAAAAATTTTGGTGGATCTTGAGGTCGGTTGTTATTATTGTGACTACAAAACACATGGTCTTGCCAGTTAAAGAACGCTATTGTTTATCTTGTTGGCTCTTATTTAGGACACAGCCTACCAATAAGCGCACACTTGTAATCAAATGGGCATTAAGAAGAATGTTTTAAAAAGATTAATTTATCCTTGATTTCTGTAAATGCTTCTCTTAAATTTTAATATAAATATATATATAATAAAATAACTACTTTAGGCAAAATATTTTAGTTTTTCATATTACTAAAGTTCAACTCAAAGAAATCAACTTTTTCTTCTGAACAAATTGAAGTCAATATTTAAATGTATTCAATATAGAAGATCAATGTTTAATACAGTTGTATCTAACTTTATTTCAATTTAAATAATATCAAAGCTATTTGGTATGTGGCTATTTTAATATGAACAAGGGTCAATTTTTGCCCCTTTTTTAGGAAAACTTTGCCCTACTTGTGGGACCCTTAATCTCATCCAATTTAAAAAATAAATTATCTATTGTGGTAATAAGTTCTAATACTTAAGTTTAATTTTTTTATTTTTAATTTATAATTGAGTTTATTTTCATTTAAAAGCGGGTTTTTAGTATCAAAATATCTTATATTTTAAGATATTTTAATAATTTATACTCCGAATGTTCAGAGTTAAAATTGAGAAAATATTATTGTTCTGAGAAAGAAAATGAGTAGATTCAGAAATTGAAAAAAACTCAGTTTCAAAGCTTTTTTCACAAAAAAAATTTTCATTATCATTATAGTATTGAGTATTGTTTGAGTAAGACGTGTTTAAAGAGAAGAAAAAAATTAATAAAAATATTTATCAAAAACTATTTATGAATATTTATTATAATGAAGATTAATGTTAAAGTGGAACTAATTATCTAATAACACTTCAATACGACATGGCACCACGCACCGTTAGTGAGATATTTGTATATCTGAACTCAGATTTGAACACATTCGAATGCAACTTTTTGAAGAATTTAGAAGAAATATGTTCGCACCCAAAAGATATTATAATACACAATTTAAACTCAATGAAAGAAAATGTAATAAGAAGTCTCCGTGAACGTTTGTTTTTTGAAGTTTTGGATAGCTTCAGTAGTGAACAATTCAGAGAGATTAACGTAACGTTAGACTCAGAAAATCCAATGGAAAAAAATCTTCGTAAACGGTACAAAACAACCAAATGTTTAGAAGATATATTTATCTTCTCGATAACTCTATGCGAAAATCAGTTGCACAAAGAAATTTCAAAGACATTAATCTCTTGCAAGAATATAGAAACTGCGCACTTAGACGATAAATTTCTGACTTCATCATTAAAAGATTTATTACAAATTTCAAAATCAATCCAAAACGAAAATATAGAAATAAAAGTGGAATTAGGTTTGTTAAAAGAAAAAATAAGTATACAAAATGAGCTTACTCAAGACCTAATAGTATCTAACGATAACCTTTTATTTCTTAAAAATCAACCGAGGCAAAACATAAATAGTAGTTTAAAACACGATAAAAACACGTGCTCAAAATCTATCGCTGAAGATACACAAAACGTTAATAACTCTTGCGGTAAGTTATTTAAAAGTATCCCCAAAGTATCAAATGCAAATACGGAAAACCTAAAATCCGATTATTATGCCCAATGCGAAAATAAGCTTTTTAATTACCACACACTAAACGAAAATAAAAATTCTAATGTCACCGCAAATGCTGCAAAAGATAATTTTCAACAACCTTGTGGCAAAACGAATGCAAGCATTTATACAGAAAGCCAACCGCATAATATCAAAACATATGCAAAGGTTGCGGCTCAAAAACAACAGACCTCAGACAAAACTAACCAATTTAAAGAAAAACCTTCAAATATTGATGATAATCCGAATAGTTTTAATTTAGTTGGAAAAAATAATAAACCTGTCCGCCAAACAAATATTCTACCCTTAGAAAAAAAACATAAGTTATTGGAGCCTATATTTGGAACGAAAACTCCGGGAAATGAGACTATTGCTGGTAGTCGAATAATTCGTAGATTTGAAGTTTTTATAGGTGGTGTTAGCAATCGAATCAACGAAGAACATATGAAATTGTATATGGAAACTGAATTAGGTGTTACGCCTATATCAATTACTTTAAACAGAGAAAACGAATTCAACAGATCGTATAGAGTCTCCGTAAGTAATTCAGAAAAAGATAAAATTTTCAACCCTTCATTATGGGATAATAATATCATCATTAAACCATTCCGTAAAAAGCGCATATATTCTAACGTGGATCATCTGGTATCCAACGGGGGAATAACAAATATTAATTGAAAATGGATCCAAGCACCATAAGAGAAGAAAACAAATCTTCAACAACTTTCGATATATGTACTTTCAACTGTCAGGGACTTAAGTCAAACATTGATTTTACAAAGTCACTTATACAATCCTATGATATAACTTTCTTATGTGAACATTGGATATCTAAACTTGAATACTCCGTAATAAGGGATATATCTAATAACACACACTCCATTTATTTCCATCAGTCTAATAAACATGAAAAAGGCCGACCGTTTGGCGGAAATGCGTTTTTTGTACGAAAAAATAAATTCCAAAATATAAGGGTAATTTACGAGGACGACCATATTTTAGCAATAAATTTCGAAAAAAACAATCTTAATATTATAGTTATTGGGTTATACCTCTCCTCATCGCGGAATAACCTCTCGTCTCTGGAAGAATATAAAGGTCAACTAGATACTGTTAAAGGTCTAATTGATAGTTACGAAGGTAACGGCAATATAATATTAGCAGGTGACTTCCAATCCTTTCCTCACCAAATGTATGATTTATTTGAAAGATCAAATTCTAAAAGAAATAGTTATTCTGTGCACTTATCGGAATTTTTAAAAACAAATCAATTAGAACTAGTAGATGTAACTAAAGGTTCTGGCCCTAATTATACATATCGACACCAGACACTACCGAATTCGTCATATATTGATCACTTCGCCGTATCAAAATATACAAGTTTTATAAATCTTAAATGCATTGTTCATCCTGAATGCTCAAATAATTTGAGCGACCACCTACCACTATCAATATCAGTTGAAGTTAAGTACACCGAATGCAATACCATTGAACTAGCAGAAGATACTAATATACCTAGCTACGCTTGGAACGATTCTAACTTTATAAATTCTTACAATGTTCATTTAACCAATCGCTTTAACAATCTTAATTTTACTAACGATTATGAATACGACCTTCTCCAAATCTATAAAAAAATTACTGACAGCGCTCAAATAGCTTTTAAGGAGACTTTAAAAAATAAAAAGCAATGTTTGTATTCAAAATCTTGGTGGACACCTGAATTAAGTCGGTCTAAAACTATTCTTTCAATTCATTTTAAAAAATGGAGAGATTCTGGTTTTTCTAAAGAGTTAAACTCGGTATCATTTAACCGTTACCAAATGGCTCGTAAAAACTTTCGTAAAGCCGTCAAGTCGGCTCAAAATAATAAAATTTGCGCACAATATATTAAAATTGAAAAGTTAAAAAATACTAAACCAAAAAACTTTTGGAATGCTTTTAGATGTTTAAACAAAGACATAAATTCTAGATTATTTACCATAAATAATAAAAAAGACAAAGAATCTATTACTTCAGAATTCGCAAACCACTTCGAAAGAGTACTGAATACTCCAAAAATAACTCATCGTAAAGAAAATCAGAGAATTCCCCCGTGTACAAAACATGATGATGTAACAATAACTGAAGAAAATATAATTGGGGCTATTTCAAATTTAAAATTAAAAAAATCTCCTGACTCTTTCGGTATCTCAGCAGAACATTTGAAATACGCAAAGTGCGATACTTTAACAAAATGGCTCATCAAATTTTTTAATTACTCCATTAATTATGGATCGACTCCAATACCAATGTCGACGTCAACTATTGTACCCCTTGTTAAATCGTACAAAAAGTCTTTAGATAGCCCGAGCAACTATCGTGGTATTAGTATTATACCAATTTTTACAAAGGTTCTAGAATACCTGATCTTAATTTTATGTCCGGATATTAGAGATACTCACTCCCTACAATTTGGATTCAATGCTAACTCTTCAACGCTACATGCTGAATTTCTAATAAGCGAAACAATTAAACATTACAACAGCAACCATTCCCCTGTGTATCTATGTTCTTTAGATGCAGAAAAAGCTTTCGATAGCTGTAACTGGAATATCCTATTTGAAAAATTATATTTCGATAAAAAATTACCACTATGTATAGTTAACACTATCTCCTCGTTGTATAACAATAGTAGCGCAACAGTCTCATATCAAGGTTGTAAATCAAACTCTTTTCCTCTAAACCAAGGAGTAAGACAAGGATCAATTCTTTCGCCTCACCTCTATAATATTTACACTGAAAGTCTTCTCGAAACTATTAAAAATCAGGGTATTGTTGGCACATCTATAAACGGTAACTTTACTGGTGTGGTAGCCTATGCGGATGATATAATACTTTTAAGCTCTACCTTATCTGGTCTCAAAAAGCTTATAAAAACATGCAATATTTACAGTAATCTAAATTGTATTAAACTGAATGCCGAAAAGACTGAGTTCTTGATCTCAGGTAAAGCCCAAATACAAACTAATACAATAACAATTTCTGGTAAT